ATCGTATTTATAGTTACCTTGGGGCTTACATATGAGTAAAAATCCGTTTCATTAAAATTTATGTCAATTCCGAGACTAAATAATTTGTGAGAAACGCAAAGGATTCTCTTGGCAACAGTTTGTAAACGATTAGGTAAAAAAACATTAATTACCTTATTATGGTTATTGACTTTTTAAAATTCCTGAAACATTTATTTATTCATTTATTTCAAATGGCAGGCGTTTTGATAGTTATCATTAGCCATTTAGTTGACTTCAGGCTTCACAGAGAGGAGAGGGAACATAAAAGTGGGAAAAGTCGAGATTGGGGACAGCATAATGATTCACAGATGTAAAAGAAACAGACAGACACAAAGGCGGAGAAAAGGTAAGATGAGTTCTGTGAAGGGGGTCGAATATAACATACAGTGGGGTCATGGTAGGTAGAAGCCAGAAATCAACTGCCGGTTTAGACTTTTTTGTCGTATGAGTATACGCTTCCCAGGGGCACCATGTGAAGGTATGTCTGTCGCACACCCTGTTATTGAAACATTTGCTTGAGCAAATTAAAAATACATAGCTATAGCGATGGGATTGCATATAAAGAGAAGATTTATTTCATTTGATAATTAGGTAAATGAGGCTAAAAGGATATCGTGAGGTGCATGTAGCATACATATATATAGAGCAGTTGTTCAAATACATTGGACAATAGTGTAGTCTATTGACTCTTAGATCAACTGGTAAATGATAAATAGATGGAGAAATACCTTGGTTGCAATTAATTAAAGTATTTGAAATAAATATCACTAAATACTACATTTCAGCAGGGCTAATTTCGAAAAAATTGAAATAGTAGGCACGGAAATTTATAGGTAACTTGTATGTTTTTTTTTAGGTATTCGAACTGTCTCCTTGCCAATTAGAGTCGTGTTTTTTTACTCAATAATCTAATGGCCATCAATTATTGCCATTTACTTTATTTAAAAATTTCCGTAGTATTGCAATTAATAGTCAGAAGACTAATCGAAGTAATTGTAATCTAAAGATTTCGTTAGGGGAGAGTAAAGGGCCCATAAAGATAGAAATTAATTAAATTCAGCATTCCAGGTGTTGACCACGTTGGTTAAAATGACTGCTGCCGAGATATTAAAGTCGCTCTTAAAAGGGCTGTCTGATGTGGTTGATCTTAAACGCAAACAGCTAAACTACTAATTAATATATAATTATTAAAAAAATAAGTTGAAGACAGTCAATGCGAGGTTTCATTTTATGCTTCAAACAATTGATTTCATCATCCCATGATTGAGAATATTGTTTCTTTTTGTTTTACATGTCAGTGTTTGGCTGTCTTTGCACTTATCTAAGGAGAATCATCTGTGACAATAAGTAAATTTGAACCTCAGTGTGCGAACAAGTCGAAATTTTCTTGAACGGTTGCAAGCATGAAGATCCAGCTAGATAATGACATCAAAAGATTATTGAGAAAGAGAATAATGTCAACAATGTTCATTTACCAGTACCCCCAAGTCACCTTGTTCCTATCAGCTTGGCTGTTACTTGGGGTCAATGCTGTTATCTGTTCATTAGTCCTTTGATCGCCAACGCTCGAGAAGAAAACAACTCGTGTTCCAACACACATATATCTATCTATCTATCTATTTATAGGCCAATATTTAGTGTCGAATTAAATGCATTCTGCCTTATATATTTGAGCAGCCCCTGGGTCAGGACGTTCAATGTATAAAAGTTAGATGCCCTTTGTTTCACACAACAGGCTTCCAAATAATTAAAAATGTACAGTAAGATCCGAGTAACAGCGCCATATACCGTATGTTTCTATTTTTGTTTTTTTTCGGGTTAAATTAAAGGTGGAGTTCCTTACCAGTGAATTATCGAAGCGAGATAACGAGATCTATGCTCTGCAGTCACGTCTAGAGATGACTGAAAAGCAACAGCAAGATCAAAATCATCACATCAGTGTACTAAAAGAACAGGTAAAAGCCAGAGAAAACAAGGTCTCCATGCTTACAGCAGATGTAAGTTTGACTCTATTATTTAAAATATATCAGTTATAATGAAATTTGAAATATCATTATTTATTTATATCATGTAGCAGGCTTTGTGATAACTATTAGTAGACTTCAGTTGACCTCAGACTTCACAGAGGGAAGGAACATCAAAGTCACAAAATTCGAGGAGGGAAGGGGGGAGGGAACAGAAGAATGATTCACTGATGTGAAAAAGATAGACACAAAGGCAGAGTAAAGGTAAGATGAGTACTGTGAAAGTGGTTGAATATGACATACCATCAGATCTTGATAGCCTGAAGTCAACTACCGACTTATAGAATTTTTTGCCTTACGTGTATACGTTGCCGAGGCTACATCTACATGGAGGTGAGTCTAACGCGCACCGCAGATGAAATATCATTTAAATGGCGAAATGCCCATAGATGAGGGCCATCTGGGAGATATTAAGGTAATTTTTTCCATACTTAGAAATAAAGGTTATGAGATTAAGCTAATTAATGTTTGGAAGTACTCTAAAGTGTATTATGTGGATAAGGAATAAAAATTGAATTTATCTAGAAAAAAAAGTTGATAAGACAATTTTGCTAGGTACTCACTGAAATGATACTGCGTTTACAGTTCCTCAGGTGAATATGGAAGTGAACATAAGACTTTTCACTCAATTCCGAGAATGACGATTTTGATTTTCATTAAAAACGAGTACGATTTCAACTCCGTCAACCCCACATCTTTACGCCCCCTGTCAGACCCAGTTGAAACTAACTAACCACGATAACTAAAATATAATAATACAATTAATAAATATTTTCTTTTATTAAAAATAGTATTCCATATCACATGATATAAAACAATTAAATTGCTAATGTAAACTAACATGAATTATAGTATTTTGTGCATAGGTGGAGCCTAATTTTGATAAAATTCACTTTTAGTCCGAGTATTTTTTGTATTTTTTTTTATTTTCTGGCTGTGATATTACCTTTTAAACTTTTTATATAAATCCAGTCGTTTTCAATGGGATGAGAATTTGAGTGATTAGTTCTCTAAGGTCTGGGTGCTTCTCTATTAGAAAGGAAGAAACAGAATTTTCTAATGAGAAGCTTATTTCATGATCACGCCATCCACAAACCGCCCTATTTAAATGCTTTGAGGTTTTATGTTCAATGTTGTTTAGATAATTACAATGTCCGGTTGTTCTAATACTTAGAATACAAATATGATTGGGATTATATTTCCTTGAAAGAAAACATTCATTATCAGAAAATTATTGGAAATGGAAGTCTTTCGAAATCGTAAATTATCCCAACAGAGGAAGAGGGCAAAGTTAATGATACATCTTCAAACTTTTTTTTCATGAATTAAGATTGAAGACTTCCGAAAACGCCTGAAGGAGAAGGAAGGATTGTTAGAAAAGAAATCCAAGTTGATGGCCACCAATGCAACTGGAAAGCGTCAACTTGAAACAGAGTTAGCTGAATTGAAGGATCAAGTTGATCTTAAGGAAAGGAAAATCTCGTTGCTTCAACGCAAGGTTAGTTCACGATTACTCATTGTTCACATTAATGACCTCGCTAATTGATTTCTCCCTCAAGGTTGAAAATCTTGAAGAGATGGTTGCTGAAAAGGAGTCACAGCTGACCAATTTGAAGTCCAGACTCTCACGATTGAATAATGAGAAGACCGGCACAGATTTTCCAAAAGCTAATCTTGAAGATATTGTGAAAGAAAAGGATAGGCAAATTGAAAGGTAAACGCATCGGAATCTATTTATAGATATTTGAATTCCCCTCCATGAATTTAATGATCTCATGCCAATTTCGTACGCATGGTTTACGTATTTCATAATATTTTAGTTTTACTACTATTATTATTATTATTTCTATTTTTACTCAGAGTATAAAAGGCTTACGATTCCGAAATCTGTCAAAAGAACACTAAAATAAAAAAGACCGTGGAAATAATAGCACGGTTTTGCAGAGAACTTCTTCAAGAATTAGGCATGAGTTTTGCTCCGCAATCTCTATGGCAAGATCTTCGCAATAAAATAGAGGATGCTCACGTATGATGTGGAATACGGTTGATTGAGATGCTTTCTGACACAGAACTTGGTCTTTAAAATACAATGAAGAGTTCGTTACACAATGCAGGAATTATTGATTGGGGGCTGGTTTTGAGGTCTTTGCGCTCATAACCGCACTTGAGCCCTACGAGGTAAATAGCACAGACGCACCTTCGAGTCTTCTGGGTGCGTGTGAGATTCCTTTGTTTAGCCAAGATAGGGTTGTGCACAACAAAGTTTCAAGGGCGTCATGATTCCCCTGTTTATCGGAATCGATTTTTTGCTTTATACATACTAAATGGATTGCTCATTTTTCAAAAAGCTAATTTGACGAATCGTCACCTGAACTGCATCAATGATGTTAAGCATTTATTCGCTGCCATTATCTTATCAAGAAATGTCGTTTTTGGAGCTCCATTTCCTATTCTCCCTAATTAGTTGAGAAAAAAGTTGATTTATATGCAATTCATCAGCTTGTTCGTCATAAGATCGGCTAATCTCAAATCAAATTGAGTACTTCTCAAAACGCTGTATAATTATAATATGGAGGAAAATTTAGAAATTTAATTGGGGAAAGTGAGCTTAAAAGCTGTCCGTTCGGTTTTTGATGCTTTTTTTCTTCCTCTCAGATTGAAAGAGGCTCGAGAGCGAAGCGAAGCAGAATGGTCAGAGGAAGCCGAGGGTCAACGACGAGCTCACTCGGAATTGCGTAATCGACTTGACACAGCATTACGTGACCTGGATGAGAAAAGCACCCAGCTTAGTGAAGTGCGGGAAGAGTTGGCCCAACTTCGCAGCTCACGCTACAAACGCGACTCGGAAGTGAGCCAACTTCAAGTTCAGTTGCGTCAACGCGAAGCTGAACTGTCGTCTCTGCAGATAGAGAAACAGATGGTATGGAGATTTACCTATTTATTTTTATCTTTAGCCATTAACAAACCATCTGGAAGCTATTAAGGTTCAGAAATGTGAATGCTCATATAATCTTGAGTTGCTTAAAGAATTAACTTGGTTTTCATGCGTTTAGATAGGAAATCGTTTAGCTCAGTTATCGAATATTAATTGCTTTTTGGAATTTATACCACCAACATCTACCCACATATAGTATACTGATCGATTAAATCCAGTTTCTGTTGATACTCTGAAGTAGTAAGGTATGACATTTTGTTTAAGTTACTATAAATGGAAGCTTGTTTAACTGAGATTTCAAATAGAATGAGATGGTAATAGGTGGGGGGAAGTAAAAATTTAATTAATTTGTCAAAATGAATTCAATCTATCCTAATTGTAAATCATATAAGGTTTGTGTTTTTCGTTATATAATTATGAAAATTGGATATAAAAAGTGATAAATTGAATTAAATATTTTACACTCAAAGCTAATTAACCTTCTTCTTGCGGTTTCTTACGAGGGGGGGGGGGATTTTTCGAGTATATTATAACCACTTGATCTATCAAATGGACCTATTTTGGCAATTGCAATAAATAGAAGTTTGCAATAGTTTTGAATGCTGTTGTTGCTGTTGAATAGGAGCGCATCCTTACGTCTTTTAAGTTGAAATACGCAGTAGGAAGTTTTTAAAAGAAGTAAGTGTCTACAAGAATGAGTAATAAGTTTTACAGGAAATAAGCAACATGAAAAAATAGATTATTGAAAGCAAAACTTGCTGTTAGATAAACTATTTGTCGTTAATGAATGTATAACACTTGCCAAAATGCATGAGATCAATGATGAAATAAGACAGGCGGTAGACATTAGAACAATGAGTACAAATCACAACTCAACCGCAGGTACTAAACAAAGTCACCATATTTTGTAGGACGCGTGATCTAACAATATATTTCTATAAGCCCATCGTATGGAATAATTGGTGAATATGAAACTGGGTGGAGTCTATTTAAAGCTCTTTTCTCACTTGGCTGCATACCTTCACGATAAGCGTTAGTAACCGACGCCTATACAGTCCGCACCCATCTTTAGGTCCACTTGCTGATTAATCCTCTCTGCGTGCAGGCGTGTGCTTCACGTTGTTTCAACTTCCATCAACCTTGAGGCATATACACTCCCTATTATCCACCTTCGAATACATTGAATTCCCGTCATATACATTTATACTTAAGCTAAATACGAATAATGAAATGAGGCCAGTTATTGCGGTCAAGGAGAATTGAATAAGCTCTTCCTTATTTGATGAAGTTCGTGTTTTTCTTTAGCGTTTGACGCATTATTTATTTATATCAAATGGTAAGCTTTTCGATAGTTATCAATAGCCCTTTAGTTGACTCCAGTCTTCAGAGAGAGGGGGGGATATCAAAGTCACAAAAAATCGAGAGGAGGAGGAACAGAAGAGTGCTTTCCATATGTAAAAGAGACAGACAGACACAAAGGTAGAGAAAAATGTAAAGTGAGATGAGTACTGTGAAAGTGGTCAAATATGATATACAGTCGGGTCATGTTAGTTTGAAGTCAACCGGCGGTTTAGAGGCCTTTTTGCCATATGAGTATGCGTTGCCCAGGGTTGCATCACGTTGATGTAAGTCTATTGCGCATCCCTCTGACGCATTTAGAAAACCATTAAGAAACTAAGAGCGGGGAAATTTTCGCAAAGACACATTTATTTCCCGATATTGCGTGAGTGTCTTACTTTGGGGAAATAGATGGTGCTTTCTCAAGCTAATTCAGTTAAATTCCGCAATAAACACAAATGGGAACTCATAAAATAACTAAAACACAAGCTGGTAAAGTGGTAAAGTCTGAACAAAAGAAGGTATAAATTATGAAATTTGAATATCAGAACGTGATATGCTCATTTAGTAAATACTACAACAATTGAATTCGAAAATTAAATGAAGTCAAAATCTGTTTCTTACCTTAACATTATTCCCATCAACATTTTAACCCTCAACTTCTTTAACACTTTGTGGACTTCCTGCTAACCTAGTCCAGATGTTTCTCGGAGTAAAAATTGACGAACAATTTTGTTTTTTCCTTTAAAAATAATTAAAGAAATTTCAAAGTCGTGGTTTTGACAGAATGAACATTGTGGATAAATTGAAATAGCACCCCCGCCCCACCCTTCCTAAACATTTTATTGAGAAAATTTATTCCTAATCTATTTACGAAATGTCTAATTAAGTTTGATTCTCCGATCCTATGAAAACATTCCGGTTTCTGCCTCGCGACAACCAGATCATATGACTGGGACTTGCAGTTATTGAGGTTTTATGTTTTTTTATTACATTAAGACAAACGTTGATTTTAACCAACAGAGAAGCAGTGGTGAAAAGTTGAAATGAGGGCATTCTTGGCATAGCGATTCAGATACGAGAATGAACTACAAATCACAGAAGTAATCACGCTGCTAGCGACTATTAAATTTATAGTAAATCGGCATTACTTATCTTGTTAAAGTTGCAGAAACAAGTGACCAGCGAGGCGGAGATGAAATACGCCAAAAGGGTTTCGGATTTGGAGGCCCAAGTAAATCATTATATGGAATCTGCTTCAAAACTGCAAAGCGAGGCTGATCGCCTTCTCAATGTGATCCGAAATTCAGACACCGACAAGTTAGACAAGGAAAACCAAATTCATGAATTAGAAGAGTAAGCAAGTCTGTTTTTTAATAATTGAAAAACAACTGTATGTTTTTTTCATCGTTATTGGACAAAATGAATAAACCGGTGAGATAATCGTGTGTTCGACGAGACCTTGTTTGATTGAGTCTTTTGTTACTAAAAATTTCGTTCCGTTTTAAAGCGAGCGCTGATCGAACTCGCGTTAATTTTAAGACCTATATTTAGTCTAAATCATAATAGAATTTTATGTCACGAGTTTTGGAAAGAATGCTCTATTAAAAAGTTATTGATGTAATTTATAGTTAAATAAGGCAATCAAATCAACACTGCGCTAAAATATATATATAAAAAAATAGGAATATATATGCGGTTTGCAATTTATTTTGTGCAAATATACAACAAAAGTTCAAATAAATATAGCAGGCAGGAAACATAAAAATCCTTTCATATTTTATTGCAGAAGTTGATAATGAATCTAATTTTTTCCTGCAAAAATCTTGTATAAGATACGAAATTTGATCAAATCTAGTAAATTAAAAAACTTTAAAATAGTGCAAGTTCAAATAATAATGAAATTTTCATTTGGCATGAAATCATAGTTTCTGAGTCTCCTCACCAATTATCAAAATTTTTGAACTCCACTTTATGATGAATTTGGTATTTTCAATTGTCCACCGGATTAAATTAATCACACAATCTTCCATTTTTCTATTTAATTACTTGTACTGAGTAAATTTTATCTGTTCATTGCGGGAAAAATTGTTCATTCAAATTTATTTATTAAAAATATTATTAAATTCTTATATGTCTGATGCTGTATAATTACTTGGAGGGTCTGATTTGTTTAATGGTTTTAAAATAATTTCACAATTTTATTGTTTGTGTTTTATGATTGAAAGAAGATTTACCCCTTAGGCTGTTTGGTCTACAATACCATTAGATTGTGATAGGATTTTTGAATTTGCACTCAGTCTGCAATTCATGAACTCCGGTGAACTTTGATATTAAATTCCTATAGCTGAATGTTGCTTGAATGAGTGCTAAATGCTCTCAATATAGATCAATATTTAATTTGTTTGCTCCAAGACCTCTGATCTTATGCTATTCTCAACGTCAAGGCAAAATCTCGAAGAATTAATTTATTCGCAAACATCAGAATTTTAAAAAACAAGGAAGTAATCCCATGCCTAATTTAGCATTTTTGTTCAGATTTAAAGATAACCTTTCTTAATAGGTTTAATTCTAACTTATTGATATTTGTCCACTCGGATATAACTATCAAGGCTCCTGAATGAAATAATAATAGTACAATGTTTAATTCTTTGTCAGCTGATGACTTATTTATGCTGTTGATAACTCCATTTCAGTGGATGTTGTTGTCCCAACAAAATGCTAATTTTTTATTTAACTATAACAAAGGGCATGAGGTAGAGACATGAATCTAGCAAATCTATTATTACCTAGGCAGCTACATGACGCTCAGAACCAAATCGGAAGTCTCAAGCGATCTCAGCAGGCTGATCGAAAGAAGAACACTCAGATGCTTGATGAAGCCCGTCAGAGAGCAGATAATATTCAAAACGATGCTGAAATGCTCAAGGTAAACCAATAGATACACTCTTTGTTATTTCATTTAGAGTTTTTTATGTTAAAGTGCATAATGCTCTGAAATGAAGCACGTAGTTTATTATAAAGCACAGCAACTACGATAATGACATCTCTGTTGTATTTTTTTGAAGATGAATTGCTTTGCATTCAAGACTTCCTTATCAAGGATTTTTTAAGTTAGGAAGAACACCTTGATGGGATTTGCCGTGACCGAACGGACGATGGCTCTGCAAAGACTAAATCACAAGCTTTCTATACCACTGGTTGCCCAAGTGCTGATATTACGAGATATGAGTTGCTAATTCAAAGATTCACCTTTCTTCGAGTTATTGCAGTGGCATTAAGTGAATCGGGAGTGAAATTCCTATAACTGTAAAACTTCATGTAATTGACTCCCATTTGGCAGTAACTGAGTAAAATTGAAAAGTGGTGTCTAAACGAAAATAGTGGAGGAGAGAACGCAACACATGACCTCCCATTCATCTAGTGCTTCAATAAAAATTTATTTCCGTCTCTTGAGAGTAACCAAATGTCTACCGAAAAAGTCGACTCTTCTTTGGAAATGGATGAAGTATTCATAAAAAGAAGTTGAGCATAATTAGAAGTTAACGGTATAAGCATTCTATTAGGGGAGGAACATCGAAGTGAAAAAGTGGAGGGGGGATAGAAGAGTGACTCAAACATGCAAAAGAGACAGACAGACACAAAGGCAGAGAAAAGGTAGGATAAATACGATGAAAGTGATCGAATATGACGAACAGTGGGGTCATGGTAGTCAGAAGTCAACTGCCTGTTAAGAGACCTTTTTGCCGTATGAGTAAACGTTGCCGAGGGTGCACCACGTAGAGGTAAGTCCATCGCACACCGCATAATCTTCAAATCAAGTTCTTCAAAACTCTATTCACTTTGTTAGTGAATAAAAGAAAGAACACACACCCACACACCCACCTGGAGTGCCTATCGCTTATCCCATACAATCAATCAAAATGACTTTTCTATCCCTTTAGAATGTGATAGCCGAGAAGGAGGTGCGAGTGAGGGAATTGGAGCAGGCTCTTCGGGAGAGTGTTCGACTTACCGCGGAAAGGGAAGCCCATGTGGCCTCTCGAGAGGATTCCACTCGTCAACTTGAACATCAGGTATGAGGAAAACATTTTTTACTCAAATTTCAGAATATATTGCATAGTTATTATATTTGAAAAAACAAAGCAAAGCGGAGTCCTAAGATTTTGGAAATGTTTTTTTAAATGAAGAAGTGGTCTGGCGCCCATTACTGATCGTTAACTACTTTGCTTGGAATGGTAGAATATTCCAACCATGTGGATAATATCTCTGTAAACGTATATCATCTAAGAGTGAATTCTATGTCATTTTAAGACTATTTCTTGCTAATAAAGTAGCTAATGTAGTCTATGGTAATATCAAACAGTAGAATAGTTTAAAATATCCACACCTCTGACCTTGATTTTGAGATTTTATGGCAGCTAGGTGACCATAGTAAGCGAATATTCGTGTACTTTTTCAAATATTTATCTAAGTCTGACGGATATTTTCACAGACTTACTATTATCTACCCAAATCACTTAATTTAAGGAATGAATTAGTTGTTACTATTTATTTTATTTTGTTTTATTTTAGCTACGGGAACTTCGTTCAACTGTGGAGCATCTTCAGAGGGAGCGAAACAATCTTTCTTCCCAGTTGGCCAGTGTCCAAGAAGAGCTTCGTGATCGTGAGGGTCAACTAAAGAATCTTGAAGCCGATTGTGTAAGCTTTGTATTGCTAGCTGTAGAAAATAATTTGAATCAGTTCGCAACTCCCCTTCACACTGTTTTTCTGCACAATCCAGTTCCAGAGTTATATCCCTGAGTTGGAAAAACTTCGTCAAACCAATCAAGAATCGAATCTGCGTATAGCTGCCCTTGTCAAGGTTGTTCAAGGCCAAGAAGATAGTTTGACTGAACAAGACAAATCAGCTGTAAGTATATATATATAATCCCATTTCAGCAAAAATTAATTAACGACGTATCTACTTAGAAGCATTGTGAATTTTAATCATTTGAAGTGAGCACTTCTTATTTGGTAATTCTTCTTCTTGTTAATAGCAATATCAATGTTTATCCATAGGCGTTAGGCCGGGATACCTGTTTGCTTGAAATCAATTATTTTATGTTCATTTACATAGATTATAACAACACAGACTTTGTGGCTCATTGGGAAGATTATAAATGCATTTAAAATGATATGAGATCAAGCAGGTTAATAATAAATCACTATTCAATGTGAAATAAGTGATTTTTTTATTACTGGCTTAACCTAGAATAAGGTTGCAATCATCACGAGATATGCTTTCGTGTCTAATATGATCGAAAATTTAACTAATTTAACCGTGATTCTGGATAATACTCAAGCCTCAAACCTTTCCCGTTATTGCTGCTCATATCCGCCGAAAGAAAGTTAGTGAACATTGCCATAACCTTTGCCTAACAGCAAGTAGGAAGTGCATCTGAATTTGCCCTTCTAATTTTTGTTTTAATTGAACCTTTATAGTTAGCCACAGTCCCACTGTTCCCCAGTCTCGCTCATAAAACTCCTGGAGCAACGAGATCTTTAACAAAAACCCAAGTTCGTCTGGGAGCTCAATCGGGTCCATCAGGTCTTCTCTCCTTTGGACAATCTGGTGTCCCTGCGGGTAGCATTTCACCTCACTTTACCGGTAGCGCCTTCCATCTGATTGGCTCGTCGTCTGTTGCAGCTGCTACGGGTTCTCTCACTTCAGGAGGCATCGGCTTACCCATCCAGAATACTGAGTCCATTCTTTTCGGCAGATTACTTCAAGAAAAAGAGACGATGGTATGAAGTTTCAATAACACCTGTTTTGGTGACGTATTACATTGCTTTTATTTCAATTATCTGAAAAACAGCAAAGCCTTCGGATGAATCGAAACGATAATTTTATAATCGTAGATTTACGTCTTCACAGGAAGACCTAAATATCAAACGACTCAAAATGTACAATAAAACATCTAATTTACAAATAGATTGGCTATTATTTTAAGTTCCTGGTTGGCTTTATATTAATATTTCACTAACCACAAGAATTGGTGTTAAAGCGTCATTTTTGTGCACCGACTTTAAGTTGAGTGAGTATCTTTAACCACTAACTGACTGAAAGCCTGATCTAATTTAGGCTGATTTAAAAGTGGAAAATTAAGATCGTTATAATTCGCATTCTATTTATACACAACCATGGAGTTGGATAGTCCGAGAAGGTAAAAATTATTAAAATTAACCATAGTTGTCAAGTTATGTTGTGATCAACAGTGCTTCCTCTGAGAATACCTCCTATGTTACTAGGAGGCCTTTCATAAAAATTTTGGAATTATGCTTTAACTAGTCATTCAAAGGAAGTATCAAGGTCTTTACTCTCTCTTATTTTTTGACCTTAGAAATGCTTCTCAGGCCTCATTCCCCAAAACATCCATTAGGTATATTTGATGTTCTTTCAGCAAAGCCAAAGTTAATGAGGTAGGAGATCTGAATTTGGGTCAACTTTAACGGGAATCCTTACCATATTCAAGCAGAAAAGGTTTTAAGTACTTTATCTTGAATTTTGAAGGAAGGTAAAGCTTTCAAACACTTTTGATATGACTTAAAGTAACTTACTACATGAATTTGAGCCGAACGTTCTTCCAATATTTCTCGACTTGTAATTTTTAATGCCTCGTTTCTATTCCAATTTTTCAACCTTATGGTCGCAATACTGCCTTGTAATTTTGATTGCATTCTTTAATTATAGGTAGAGATCAGAATTCAGGAAAATATGAGCTGTTGCAAAAAAGTGGAAAATAAATCATTACATGGTGTGTTAACTTATGATTGACTTATTAAGCTGATGAAAACTTTCTTGACAGTCGTCTCAATTTGAAAATACTTTGTTTGCCCATTTGTTGTTGTTTCCTTAAAAGTCCCGCCCCCTTTTCCTTCTCTCACTTTAGTTCGAATCCTCACCATTACACTTTTATTCTATATCTTATAAATACTGACACATGCTTGTCGAGTACATTGAGAAAATTTGTGCTTACTTAAGTTGGCGAAAAATCTAAGAGTACTTTCAACAACCCATATTTCTTATCTGCCCCATCTTTTGATTGGCTGCTTGTCTAACATAGAATGAAAATTCATTCGATCTACATCCTTCCTCTCGCAGAACCTTATCGTGAATATTTTATCCAATTTCGGCTCATTTTCATACATTTAGAGAAGGCCTTTTTTGCTCAACATGAAAGTTATCTAGTTATAACGAAGTTATGCCCACTTATGGGAATAATAATGCAATAATAGGTAAATATATCTTCATTAGCCTAAAAGTCTTATTGCTTATGTGATTTTGAACACTCCGCTTCATACAACTTTGTTAATTCCTTGACCAAGTAATTTCTGAGCGAATGTTTTTATAGGTCACAACTCCACAATGAGTGTGTCTCTATATTTTTATAATACCTCACTTCACCTGCTGTTGCCTAACTCTTTGCCTATTTCAACTATTTCAGCTCCAACAGCAATTGCACGAACTCACTCGCCTTCGGTTCCAGAATTCAGAGATGGAGGTAAAAGTTAAATCGCTTCAGAGAGATCTCGATGCTAAGACTTCTCAGTTGACTGCCATGGAAGTTGCCCAGGTTAGATTCTGTTTAATTCAAGTGGAGCACTATGAAGGGGTTTCTAACTGTTAAATAATAAACTATCCTAATAACAAAATTTATATATATATATATATATATATATATATATATTAATTTAAAATAAATGTTCAATTGATTAATTCAGATTTAGAAAAGCCTCCAAGGCTTTGTTATTTGGATTAAAATAAGCTCAGACGTATCCCATCGCTCATGTTGAATAGAAACTAAGTAAGGGTACAATTTATTCCAATAATAAAAATTTTAACTTATTTGCAATTTACGAAACTTTGTTTATCAGTATTCAAATGAGAAGTTAGCATTATTGCATGAAATTACCTCGAAATGGTCAAATCTTGCAAAATTGTAAAAAACTCAATTTGTCATGGAATTTTATCAAAAATGTAACTAATAAATGGTGCAATGCTACACGATACAGACTTGACTTATCTTCAGTAATTTCCATGGAATGCCTACCGGAATTGCCAAACTGTCTCAGCGTTACAGGCACGTGGAATACACTTACTTGTGTTGTGTTGACATGGAGATGAGTCAACAAAGCACGTTATGGGTGCGCTGGCCCTGTAATTCTAATTGTTGAGAAGTAAATAAATAATTTTAATATACCACAAAAAAGTTTGCATCAATTTTGCATTGTTCGATCTATCAGGTTAAAAATATAGTCGATATCTGTTCCTCTACATTTATTCTGGCCGTGTTTATCTATTAAGTAAATTAGTTATTAACCTAGCTAATATAAAATGTAGTCCCAATTACTGAATTTGCATGTCTATTTAACTAGACAAATTAAGCAGGTGAATTGATTAATATTGCATAAAATATTAACCTAAAGGAAGGATCAGAAGAAAGCCTACATTAAGTGGCACTTAATGACACTTTGAAATGGAGTTTGGAATATGTCGAGAAAAGTTAATCTACTTATTTAGCCTTGATTTCCCTTTATCCGCTGATATATAGGCGGTCAACTGGATTCGAGCTTAGATTTAAGTGTAATTTTATGCAAAACTGTGGTACATACTCAAAGATAAAGTACAGATTCAAATATATTTTCGTATTTATTGTGGAAGAATGAAATTAATGAGTCACTTTTTTCTTGGCTTTATAAATACAAAAAAAATCAGTAATCTCCCTTTTGACACTCAATTTATACCTTCCATTTAAGCTAATTTTTCAATAGCTTAAATAATCTCAATGACAATACTCGTTTTGGGCAAACTAATCCCCCATTAATTTGGGCAATTGCTTTTCCTTTTCTTGAATTGTAGTCCACAGCTGGCATAACTGGACTGGTGGATTGGCAATCGCAGTTAGCCGGAATGCCCATCACTCAAGCGGAGTTGGCGACTCTAAGGAAGGCCAACACGGAGATGCGTGAGAAACTGATGCAACTGCAAAGCTCCCTTCAGGAACGCGAAAATGAACTCATTCGCGTTCAACACAAACAGGTTTGAAAAATAAGACTATAACTCAAATAGAAATTTAGTTGCTATATATATATATATATTCGTTTTTTAGAAATTTTAATTGGCTAAATTTGCACAGGTTGCAAATATGCCACCTGTTAATTGACATTTTAAAAGAGAGACTTAATGAAGGTGGACACTTTGAGAGTTAGAATGACAAAACTTCACTCTTCTAACTAATTCAGAAATGCAAACTTTAAGACTACTTAATTACGTTATAAACCTTACATTTTGACGGGGTTAAAAGCTGTTGAGAGGTTTGTAGTCAGATTGTGAAAATAATACCACATTTGAAAAATCATTGGCAAGTGTATATCAATTGGAGATTTTTATGAGGATTTCAACTTTGCAAAAGTGTTCATGTATGTCGGATTTTGCATCCGCACATACAATAATCAGTGGTATTGCTAAAAGATAACAAACGATAAACTACGAATTTTGAAAATTTCACAGTAACAAATAGTGCGATCATTATTTGCCTATATATATTGTATTACAAACTGCAGAACTAAAAAGTTAGTAGCAGTCGGAGGTTAGCTTCGACTCCAAAACCTCCGACAAATATAGGGTAGGGAAGAAATAAAAGTAGAATTGATTAGGTAATAAATAAAATTTTCTCTTATTTAAAAAATGTTTAACTTTTTATTTTTTTCCAATTTTAGACTTCAGAAAACACACTGGAGATTGAACGATTAAAGTTGGAGTTAGCCAAGCTAAAAGAAGAGCGTGAATCAATTGTATGATTTTTTCGATATTTGCTTTTGAAATTTTTTGCTTAAGTGAGATTTAAATATGGAAATCTCTATCATACGTTTATATTTTAAGGTATTAACTAACCAATAAATGTGAATTTTTGTTATAAATCATTTAAGGCTGTGATTATTAACTTTGAAAATAATGTAATGATCAGTTTGAGAACACAGAATAAGTTTATTACTTCAGTGTTCGCCAATATGCTTTGTAAATTTAGCAGTTATTAGTCGAAAAAGTTTGTGAGATTTTAAAAAAAATGAAATAGGAAATGTCAGTACGCCTATTCGATGATTTGACTCAACCGATTTGTGTGCATGGTTTTCATTCCAAGCCTCCATTACTACAATTAGAAGCTAATGGATTCTGTGCATGATGATAAGTTAACATGGAAAAAATGACTGATTTTATAAGACCAATCAAATAGATGTTTATGCAGAACCGTGCCTGGTCATAATAATTATTCAGACATTACCATTCTCTGCACGGATCTGCGCTTATCTTAACATTAGAACAGAATCAAGCTCACTAAAAAGCATATGTATTTGTAATAAAACAACATTAAAGGCAAAATGTTGATGAAATCGAAATTCCATTAAACAAATGTTACTGTTGTCAGATGAGTAGCAAGATTATTATTTTCGAAATTGCTATTGGATCAGATAAACTTATCACGTTGGATACTGGACCTGAAATCAATATTTAGATTTCTTTTGTTTGGTAATAACATTCTTATTATGCTACCACAATCTAAGCTACTATATGAATATGAGCTATAATAGGAAAAGGGTATTCTAAAAGTTCCTATTATCATAATAAACAAATAGTACAATGTATTATTTTCAAAAATATTGGAATTTAAAACACGGACCTATCTAATGATCGATAAGTATACTACTTTCTGTTTTGAATCCAGAAAATATCCTCCAAGTTAGTGCCTAAGCACTTATCACTTTAATTAATGGTTTAGCTATATTCTTAGCCTTGAAAAAGTCCTGAAATGAGTCACTAATCTAAGTGACCGAATTTATAAATCTAATGAAATAATTCCTCGAAATTCTTGTCTCGTTTCTTTCCCAAATGTAATTTGTTGACTTTTCTTTTCCTCAATAAAAAAACCGAAAAAATATTCCGAATTGCTCTTGGATATAACAATATAAAACTGTCTCTCTCTAGGAGAGAACCTTGCGTCTCGAAACATCAAGAGCTTCGAGTGAATTAGCTCGAATGAATACAACCGCTTCTGCAGTGGAATCCAAATTACTGGAAAGAGAAGATAAGATCAAGCTACTTGAATTCGAAAGAGTAAGACCTTTAAAATGTAGTTTTTTCCACTTAAAGTCAATTATAAATTGAAAAATTTTAAATTTTTCAAATCATGATCTTATATGATGTTAATATACTACTATAACTTTGAAAGTAGTATGCATTTATTCTACTTAAATTAAGACACATAGTAGGTCATTTTTCAACAATGAGATACCTCGTCATGTACCACTCTTTAACAGATTTTCGCCTTTCACAGACAAAACTGAATTCAGATCTGGAGGGTCTGCAGAGTAAATATCATGCTGTTTTGGGTCAGCTTACGGAGAAATCAGACAAATTGCAACAAATGGAGCAAGATTGCGTAAGTGACTTTGCACGTCAGAAAACAATCTCTGATATTATCAAGCGAAGATATTTCCGAGAGACACTTAAATACAAATGCAACTTTACTATTGTCAAATTTAAGGTGAAATTTTAAATGGGGGTTAGGATAAAACCCTTTACTTTGAAAGATAGCATGAATTCCCGTTTAATTTGAGAGTGAAGTTCAGAAATTTCATTATGAAGTATCGTTAGCATTCGGTTATAAAAAACTACGCTTAGATCAATGTCATCGCATTCAAGACCGCCGTTATAACTGTGCATGGAATTGACCATTTTCACTTTTAAATTTACTTAAGTGGGATGTTGGAATAGTAAAAGTTTACTTTCCAATGGTAAATACTTATAAAGCATTCAACTACCGAAAACAGGAGATGGTTGACCGTGTTAGAAGGGAGACAATTAGAGGTTTTATCGTTTTTAATGATATGCAGAATGAAACATTATAGGCATTAAGTAAAAAAAACCAATGAAACGCCAAATCATCTTTAGTTAATTTCCGTTTATTATTCTGAATATTTTTTCTACAGGAGAAGAAACATACATTCGAGATTAAGCGACTTACAAAGGAGATCGAAGAACTAAATCATCGTGTTAACTACCTCCACAAGACCTTACAAGAACGTGAGGCCAAACTCGAAAAACAGGAAACTGAACTTGTAAGTTTTAGTTTAGTCAAGAGATACAATTTAAGGCTCAATTGAAGTAACGGTAAATGGATGATATCTTAATTTTGAAGGGATTCGCGGTATGATTGAAAAATAATTTGTCATGAAATCATTAGGCATATAAATTTTCCAAATATATATAAACTATTAAATGTGGAGAAAAATATATTTCTATTAGGGATTGTCTATTTATTTATAAAAAACAACCTTGGAAAATCAAGGTCACCCACAGAACACTAATGTTTTATCATTTTTCATTCACTGGCAGGGGCACACCCATTGAACCACTATGGTGGTGTCGTGGCTCCATTTTCAACAAAAATAACTCAAAACTTTAAAAATATATCAAAAACTGCTTAATTTTAACACCATGTCGATATTAAGTAATATGAGGTCGCCATACGCTGCAAAAGTTGTTATTGGTTCTGTAGCGGATTGCTACGCTAGTAAAGCCTGACTGACTCAGAAATCTCTGTGGCAGATTCTCCTACATCTAGCTAGACTCCCAGAACCAGCTAAGCTATAGCCCAGCTATGAAAGGGAACATACGTGTAGCACGGAGCACGTTTATTCAGTACGAGTATTGCGGATTGAATGTACTCGTAGGAAGCTTAATCATGATCAGGATGGCGGATTAGGTTATACAAACAGAGGTTAATGATTGGTCACTGATTGTACGGTCGCACCTCCTAATCCTGGCGTGCAGGCATGCGATGACGTGTCCCACAGTTCTAACGCACATATACATTCTATTTAGGTCATTTTATCGAAAATTCGCATTCAGTCCACAGTATATTTCAATTTCTAGCCAACAGATAGTGCCTATTTATTGAAAAATCGAATCCAAATCTCATTCCATTTTTTTTATCTTTGCGGCCGGATGGAAAGAGTTTGTAAGAAAGGAATATACTAATAATACTTAAGCTTTCATATGTGAAGAGTTTGTGCATACGAAAGGCAGTTGTATACACATAAAAGCGTTGTCATGTCCACATGCTTCCTTTCGATCGTTCGTT